ACATACATACATACATACATACATACATACATACATATATGTACATACATACATACACACATACACACATAAATACAAATATATATATAAAGGATGGATATATGAAGGCCAGCTTTTTAGTAACTGGAAATATGCTTGGCATAATATCTGTAATTATCTTAATAATTTCATTAACATAAAGTCCTCACAATGGTTTTCTGGGAGCAGTTTTGTTTTTCTTGGTTCAAATTTGTAAGGAAAAGAAAAGAGGGTGGAAGGGGGGAAGAGATTAAGATACAAAAACCAGAAAAAAAAGACAATGAATGAATTTTAGAAAAAAAAAAAACTCATTTTTACTATAGTTTTCTTGTGATCGGAAATATCGGCAAGTTTTTATTTCCGCTTTATTTGTTATACAGATCTAAATAAGTGATTATAACTGTTTTTACTGATTAAAAATTTAAAAAAAAGAAAAAAAAAACAAAAAGACTGGCTAAAAAAGAAACTACATATGCAAAAGCGATGCAAAGAAGCCAGTACTTTGACCAAATGTTGTTTCATCATCGCATTTCTTTTCGTCAAAAACGAGTAATAAAATATGTTTGTAGAAAATTGACTTTATAAACAAAAAAAAAAAAATTGGCTTAATTCAGGATTTATTGTTTCGTAGGTCCGAAATTTGAAAATTTTCCTTTTTTTTACTTTAAAAATTTTTTTGTGAAAAACTTCTGAATGAATGAACGCTTCTTAAAAGTCCATTTACAAAAGAACAGGAAAAAAACTTTCAAAAAAATTTTACATAAAGTTTTTTTTGCGCAAGAAATCATTTAAAACTTTCAAATTTTTTATAATCTTTTGCAGTATGCTCTCGCTTATTACTATACGTTGGAAAAGCGGACCGATCAACGGAGATATGGGCCGAAATGGCCGGAAGCGGATACGATGCAAAAAAACTATGCGTTTTCGCATGGTACTTGATTGAGCGTGGACAACAGCCTGATGCGTAAGCATTAATTTTTGAGGCATTAGGATTTTTTTGGGGGATTTTTGAGGTTTTAGCTTATTAAAATTTCACATTTTCGGTTTGCAAAATTAGGTCTTTTTTCATCACTTTCACATTTTTTTTGTGCCTCCTATAAATTTTTTTGCCCTTTTTAACCCTTATTTTCACTCTACGATCTTTGCCTTACTTTCTCCTCCCTAGTTTTTACTCGATTCGTTACCTGGCTAAGATTTCACTTTCATCTGTTATATTATTTTCCTTAGCACTTACTGGAAAAGTCTCCAGTGGCTCATAATGATGAGGTCCAATTGTGGTAATGGTAGGAAATGTATTTTGTGAAAATTTTTTTTCATAATATATTTTGTGAAAAATTACAATTTTTACAAATTTCTTAATATTATTTGCTTTATCTTCTTCCAACATCAAAATATTTTTCCATTTCATGTGTGAGATATTAGCCGTTTATTTTGGGTTGCTAAAGGCGAGCGGCATCAGTTTTTGGGTGGAGAAAATGGACTAGCTGCGTAGGATTCTGTTTTTTTCCTGTTTTTTGTGGAAAATGAGGGAAAACTTGAATTGTGAACTGCTAAACTTATATTTTTTTAAACAAGAAATGAATTAACGACTGCACCATGTAAAGTGATGAAATGAGAAAGGGAGGGGCGGAAAGGGGCCGGGGGGGAGGGGGGGAAGGAGGGGAGGGGGCAGAGCATAAGCTTGGTATGTATTTTCCTGAAGCTGAGGCACTCTTACAGCGCTTTGGACGATCGAAAAATTGCACTGATCGGTGCTAGAATATACGTCTCGTTGTGTTGCTTGAACGGATCGCAAGCTTTCAGCATTTTCAACGATTACCTTTTTCAGGTTTTTTTTTTGGCTTAATTTATGCCTAGTTTATGATTTGGTGCTCATGAATTTTTCCCGGCTTTAACGTCTAGTTCGTGTTTTTCTACATTTTTGCTAATCGATCTTCAATTTTTTTGGCATTTCTGCGATTTTTTCGTCCTTTTACGGATTAAAAAAATCAAAAAAAAAAAATAATAAAAGAAAAAGAAACTCGTCATTTTTTTATTGCTCATTGTTGTTTTATATGGTTTCATGAATTTTTTTATTTTTGTTATCTTGATTTTTCTATGTTTTTGTTAATTCGATCAATTGCACTTTTTTTTTGCATTTCTGTGATTTCTTCGAGCGACTTTTTTGTTTTTTTGCGGATTTTTTCGTCATTTTTTTTTAAATTGCCCATTGACTAGTTTGCGGTATTTTAACTGTTTTACGACTTAGATTACCATTTTTTCATGTTTTTCGCAATTTTCAGTTTTTTATTTTTGTCATGTTTATTGTAAGGTGCGGTTTTTTTTTTTCAGAGAACACTGGAAGCACTGCGAATGATATGTCGATTGCTTGATTCTGCTGGCAATTTCGATACTGCTAGTCGAAAAGGAGCCGGAGCGGGCAGTGGTAAAACAAAAACGAGCAAGAGAGCTCGTGATATCATTGACACTGAAGTGCAAAGTAGTGTTTTTTTTTTTTTTTTTTTTTGTATTAAGCTATTGCAAATTACGAAAAAAAACTAAATTTTATAAACTGATGGACGAGGAAGAACCCTGAGGAAAAAGGGGAAGTTCCTAGCTCATGTGCAAAACGAGCGAAGAAAAAGGAATAAAAAAGGGGAATACTCGGGAATCAGGGAAGTTGGGAGGCTGAAATTTTAAGGGGAAGTTGCCAGCTCATCTGCAAATTAAAGATTTCAAATTCAGCTGTCAAGTTTGTGTGGCTCTCACGTATGGTCCCACGAAAGTTGTGGACGCTGGCGTCGGGACGACTCCGGCATCTTGTCTGTTCTTGGCCGGAATTCAAACCACCTTTGAAGCCCGCACTGTACGAACTGTAGCCGGCTTTGCCTCCAACAGTTTTCAGACTTTTTTCTTTGTAAAAGCGAAATTTCTAACGTTCAAGGATTGAAAAATATATATTCTATGATTAAGGGTAGAGGAATTTGCGAGCTGGAAAAGAGTTAATTTGTTGTGTTGGAACTCAGTGGACCGAAATTTTCTTAATCCTAATTTATATCATTTTTGTCAGTGCAAATTTTTACTTATTTTCTTATTTGATTTTTATTTTTTTTTTAAAATACTAATTTTCTAATTTTTATTTATATTTATGCTTGGATTCAGCTACACTTCTCACAAACTGTTTCTCCCACCTGTGTTCAGCTGGCTATTTTTCTAGTTGCTTTGGCCAGTGCTGCATCGCTTGATTTTTAATCTGTGGTGATTTTGATGATTTTTTTCCCCTTTGAAGGAATTTTCAGCAGCGGCCCTTTGGAAGAAGTATTTACGGGGTTTTATCCCCTTCGAAGCTTAATTTGGTAATGGGGACGCCAACATCTCACCAAATCTCATCTCGGACAAGGGTAGTTCTGTGCAGCGATGAGATGTTTCACTTAAACAAGTTCACACTTCTCTATTTATAATTGTCTCTGAACTGCTGAAATTTCAAGTTTAACTTGGAAATACTCTGTTATTTACGATGTATTCCGGTACCCGGTAGTTACAGCAGTGCTTTTTAGACAACGAGCGACTCACGCAAGATGACAGAGCTGATTTGCGGGAAATGCTTTTTGACGTACTGGACGCAGTGTTCGTTTTCCTAGGTAGAGGTGTGTGCTTTTATTTGTTTTTTTTCTCAACTTTCAAAATTCAGTTTTTGAAGGAAGTAAAGAAAAATCGCTCCTTTTCCAAACTGCTCTATCAAATTTTTGGTCATTTATCCTCTAACTCAGCAAAAATGCAGCTCCAAGACAGTAGATAATCTAAATCGTAACTACTAGGCTTTTTTATTATACAGCGCTTACATATAAATACAGATAGGCAAAGACCTGAAAATCACAAAAAGCTATGACAGAATATCGAGTTTTTTTTTCGTGTTTTTCTTTGATTTCTTTTTTTTAAATTCAAATAAAGTTTTGAAAATTTCATGATTTTGACAATTCTTCCATGATTTTACACGATTTTGCGTGTTTTTTGAATTTTTTTTAATTTTTTTAAAGTACAAGTGTGGAGTTTTTTTCATGATTTTGATAATTTTTCCATGATTTTACATGATTTTGCATGTTTTGCTATGCACAATTTTTTTTCTTTAATATGTATTTTTGTAATATTTCAGTATCGTTGTCATCAACGAAGCAATCTTCAGTATCGCTTGCAGTTCTTTTGCAACGCCTTATGCAGCTCGATTTCTCTGAGAAAACATCGCTGTTGGAGTGCAAGAGACTTTCAGATTTCCAGGCACTTTTTCTTTGTTCACCTTAAGAATTTTTTCAATCCCTGAACATAACTTTTCAAGGATTTTGGACAAAATTATTCCCATTTTTTAAAAATTAAGAAATTGTAAAATTTTTTTAAGATACTGCAAAATTTCTCGGATCGTTCGTTTGCGCTGGTTCATCGATTTCTGGATGGCCGTCATACAAGCTGGCATGTTGTCTACGGTCGACTGGTGTTGCCCCGTCTGATGTATTGGACGATGGAGAATACTGTGTTGCCGGCAAATGCGCATCCACCAAAAATTATGAGCGTTTACAAGGATGCTATGATCAGTTTGATACGCATGAGATTGCAGGTAAATTACCTTGATTTAAGCGTAAAGCATAGATTTGTGGCTGTATTTGTTGTGATTTTCTTGTTTTGCAGGAACCGAGGCTTTTTTTTACACGTAAAGATAACAGTTTGAGTACCCCGCTTCCTTTGGTATTTCGATAATTTCAGCATACAAAATCCTGTAACTTCCCGATAAATTCCTTACAGATGGGTGAAGATGTGAACATGGAAATAGAGTAGAATAGGAGATAAGGAATCAGAGTGAGTATTATGTGAAGGAAGAAATTTTGGAGCCAGTTTCATCCATGATACAAATTTGATCAAAGTGACGTACATCTTAAGTGTTTTAGAAGTTTTTTTAAAAAAAAAAAGGAGAAAAAAAATTGAAAAATGTAAACTATGAATATTTGTTTGGCGCTGTAGGACAGCTGATGAAAAGGACACAGTTGAATATAGTCAATTGCGGAAAAGCAGTGAGTGCTAATTCAGATACCCAGATAAGCAAGCCTATATGTGCATTAGCTATTGTCCGGTCTGTGTTTCATTCCTAAACTGTAAACACAGACGGCAGAGTCGGTGCGGAAGGGGGTGGGAATCATCAGTACAGTGCCCCACTCCGCCATGTTTTGAACGAATATGTGGCATTCGGATGGAAGAAGTACAGATGTTGATAACATGCAAACAAAATGCATGTATTTGCCCGCTGTTAGAGCGGGAAATAGTAAAATGGGAGATAAGGGATCAGACTAAGCATAATGTGCGGGAAGAAATTTTAGCCTTCTAAAATTTTCTTAAAAAGTCTTAATCATCAATCTTTCTTCGAAATCTTAATCTTCGGTCCTTCTTAGAAAATCTCAATCTTCAGTGATTCTCAGAAAATCTTATTCT